GGGGGGGGGGTGAAGAGTGGTCAAAGGTCAAAAAAACATCGAAAACCTATTTTTTACGATTTTCAATTGTTTTTCCATTAAATGTGAAAAGGATGCATTTCTACGAGAAAGAGCTAAGTGAGTCCGCGGACGAACGTTACTTGTACAAATTGCAATAGAATAAAATGACATCGAAAACTAATTATGAATACATTATCTTGAAGTTATTGATTTATTTTTAATAAGATTTGTAAAACTCACATTCATCTTTTTCTTTCTTTTTTAGAAAAGAAGCTCATCGTGAATTTCGTCGTTTGTATCATTTAGAAGAAAAACGTCGTCAACAATTATTAGTTCGTCATGAATTTGAAATTGATGAACAACGACAAGAATTTCGTCGTAAACGTGAAGAATTAATGAGAAAATATGATGGTGAATTGCAAGCAATGGAACAAAAACATAATATTGAAATTGAACGTGAAAATATTCTATTAACAAATGAATATAATAAAAAAATCAAACAACTCAAAACTGGTTTGTTTTGTTGTTGTTGGTTTTTCTTCTTTTGTTAATTCAATATTTTTTAGATCAAGAAAAAGAATTTAAACAATTTCGTGAACAACTTCGAGAACAAATCAAACAAATCAAACGTGAATATGATTCACCAACATCAACATATCACAGTAATAAATTTGAAGAACTTCTTTTTCCTCTTACAAAAATTCTATTTTTAAGATTCACAAACATTGAAAGATCGAAAAGAACATTTAAAACGATATTTAACTGAAAAAGAAGATGAATCATATGTACGTGAAAAAGAATTTCTTGATAATCAACAACAAATATATGATAATCAATTGAAAACAATTGAAAATTATTATGCAAAACGTATAGAAATGTTTGAAAAACAATTTCAAATAAAAAAACAAAGTCTATTAAAACTAAATGAACAAGAATTATGGGATATTGATGAATTAGAATTACGTTCACGTTATGATCTTTTACGTAAACAAACAAAATCTTTTTACGCATTATTTCGTACAATGTTAACACAACAATCAGAAAAAGAATTACAACAATTAGATGAACAAATACGTTTTGAACGTAATACACTGGAAGCACGTCTTACAGATGATAAAAGAGAATGGCCAAAACTATGGAAAAAAATGCAAAAAACACGAACGAAACAATTTCGACAACAATTAATTATGAATAAAACATCATCTGAAGAAGAAAAGAAACTTATTAAAAAGGTAATATTTGAACAATTTATAGATATAATGATATTTACACAGTCTGAATGTCACAAGTAGAAACGATGTGTCTTCACTACCGACAAACTGTTTATTCAAATAATTAAAAAAAACGACTTTACATTTGAGTTTTTCGATCAGCGTTGATTAAACTTTATAAAAAAAAAAACATTTTCGTAAAAAACTTATCCTTTGTGTAAAAAATCAATATAGAAAAGAATACTTCTCCATTGAAATTATTTTTTAAACCAATCAATGAAGTGCGGACATAAACGAGCAAACAATTTATTCTGACTGAACTCTTCCTTACGAGAAAGAGAATATGCATATCGACAGAATAGAACATTTGACTTTGATATTTTTATAGGGATATTTCTCTAGGGAGCCTATATGTTGACGCTTTCATCTACTACTTTGTTAAAATTAATTAGTGAATATTAATCGAACTATATGAGGAGAAACTTTGAGAGTAAACTTTCGGACCCAAGTCATATTTATGACGAAATTCTCCTTATAAAAACGGGATTCCTTCAAGTCGCAAAACAACATCATTATCTCATTCTTAATTAAGATTTTTTTTAAACTTAACTGCAAAAAGTGAAAAATCGATATCTTTTTTAAGTAATGTTACTAACGCTAGTCTTTCTAGTAATAACTCTTCTCAACAAATTTAGTTCATTTACTATACCCAGCACCCGTGCGAGCGGAGGGAGGGTAGGGAAGTGTACACCCCGAATAATTGCAAATAGCTGTCTTTGTTACAGCGATGGGAGCTGATTTGGAACAGATTTTGTGTTTTTTTAGCAAATTCTGCTCTAAATACCCTTCTAACCCCCTCCCCCAAGAATTTTTATACTTCTTCAAAACCCGCTAACCCCCTTCCCCCTATCTTAGACCCTTCGTGCAGGCTCTGACTATACCTTGAGTAACAAGTAACGCTGGTCCGAGGACTCGCTTAGCTCTTTCTCGTAGAAATGCATCCTCTTCGCATTCACTGGAAAAAATAATGAAAACCGTGAAAAATTAATTTTCGATGTTTTTTACCTTTGACTCCTCTCCTCCACATAGTCACCCAACGATTCTCAGATTCGAAGTCTCCGCATCGAAATACCTCTAAAAATGTCGTTTTCGAAAAATCAGTCTTCGATGTTTTTTTGACCCTACGGACATACAAGCAAGCAAGCAATCAGACAATTTATGTTTACTTGACTCTTCTCTACGAAAAAGAGAACTTGACATACTTATGAACAGATTTTCAATTTTGTGAAGTCATGTCGATAATTATTAATTATTTTATTCTAGTTTGAAACTGATGAATATGAACGTTATCGAATTCATGAAGAACGTTTAAAAGAAAAACATTATCAATTAATAGAAAATCTTCATAGTAAACATCAAGCAACAAGAAATGAATTATTATTTGTTCAAGTAAATTTTTTTTCTTTATTAAAATAATAATAATTTCTTGTTTTTCTTTAGCGACAAAAATTAGAACAATGTATTGAATATGAAACACGTAAATTACAAGAACTTCAATCAACATTTGAAAGTGATTGGATGGAATTTCGTAATACTCAAAAAACTCGAAAATTAGTAAGATATATATTTGTTTTGTATAATTAAAGAAAAATATTTTCTTTTCTACATAAATTCATCCAGATTGATCAGTTTCATATAAAATCACCTCTTAGTTTACCATTAATAATACCTAAGCAGAATGATAAACTATATTCTCCAACTATACTGAATGATAGACATTGTCAGATATATATCTACGATACGAATCAAGTATTTTCTAATACATTATTGGATCCAAATTTTTCTTCAATGAAACAACAAACTCAAGTTAATTATTAAAATGATTCGATCATCATTACAATAAGTATTTCATCTTTGAGACAAACGAATAGATAAATAGATTTTTAACTAATTAGTACTCATCGCTATTTTTTATTAATGACTGGTGATTGGTTTATATATTGATTAATATTGGTTCTTTTTTTTATACTTTATCTTTCTGTAGCAATCTATATCTCTTCCATAT